GATTTCCGTGTAGTTCCGTGCTTGCGTGGCAGTGCATTTTCATTAGCAGGTAAACTTATTCCCTTTGGTGATGTTGAGAATTTCTTAACTTCAAGTCAGATTACTTCACTTAGCAAGGTTTCAAGTGCAGTGTCAGTCTGTCAGATCCTTCAGTATCCTCATCATTGGTCAATTTTGTTCTGGATCCCGTCTGTACATGCAGAGATCCAATTGCTAGTCTTGCCAAAGACAGTGAAATTGAGGGCCACTTGGACAATCTGTTTAAGTTGGATTCTATTGGAATTAAGGAGACTAACAATGAAATTGCCAATTCACACGCTTCTCACCTTGACTATTTTGAGAAGTCTTTGGTTCTAGAAGATGGTAAATATTTTGTTGGAATACCCTGGTGGCCTGACAAAATTGCTGATGCAAAACCTAACTTTGAAGTTGCCAAGGCTGTACTTCGGAGAGTGATAGAGCGGCTCGACAAAACCGGTATGCGCGACGCCTACGGTGAGGTGTTCGCTAAGCAGCTTACAGACGGAGTTCTTGAGGAACTTCCGCTAGATGAAATTGATGTGAATGATCACATTTGGATTCCACACAGACCGGTTGTTCGAGAGGAGGCTCAAGTCACTACTAAGATTCGCCCTGTATTGAATTGCAGTCTTAAAATTGGGGATTCGCCGTCTCTGAATGAGACAGCGTTTCCAGGTGTAGACCTATTAAACAAACTTTTTGATTACTCCTTAACATCAGGTCAAATGATTACCTAGTTATATCCGATATCAAATCGGCATTTCTAATGATTAAACTTAAAAATGTGGTTGATCGCAACCGCTTTTCAATTTTGTGGAGCGATTCAAACAACAACCTTAAAGCTTACCGATATACTTCCTTGGTTTTCGGTTTATCTTGTTCACCATTTGTCCTTAATTTCGTCATTCAACATCATGTGAAGAAATATCCTGATGACGTCTGCTCTCGTGTCTTACGGGAGAACATGTACTATGTTGACAATCTGTTTTTCACAGGTAACGATGACGAGAGTTTGTTGCAGATGTACCATCAGACCAGTTCCAGAATGGCTGATGGTGGGTTCACTTTACGTAGTTGGGTGTCCAACAATGCTGCTCTCCAGAGAGAATTTCACAATGACCGTTGTGGCACAGATCACGGGAGTAGCAGTGAGAAGGTCCTTGGCTACCAGTATTATCCTGCGACAGACACGATGTGCGGTATCCAGAGTGAGTCCGGTCCCTACGGAGGGTATTGTGACAAAGAGGAAAGTCTTGTCACAGCTGGCTAAAGTGTTCGATCCTCTGGGACTTGTGACTCCTGCTTTAGAATCTAGTAAGATATTTCTGAGGAAGGTCTGGCTTGCGAAATATGCATGGGACGACCCTCTCACTGAGGAGCATTGTCAGGAATGGAAGACAATATCGTCTAATGTACAACAATTCACTAATTTCTCCTTCCAGCGCAAAACCATTGACTCTGATAAAGAAGTATCTTTAATCTTATTTTCTGACGCGTCAAAAAAGTCTTATGGCTATGCAATTTATGCAGTTCAGCCGTATGATGATCATTCCAACTTTAGAATTATTTGCTGTGTTTTTGGCCTTCAAGTGTCTCTTTTTCCATTTTGGAGAGCGCAAAATTTGAAGTATCTTCTGTAACATTGGAATTGATGCACAGATTGTGCTGTCTTGGATCTTGACGAACAAAGTTAAGGCCAAGAACGTATTTGCAAAGAACAGAATTAAAGACATTTCAGAATTTCGAGTAGAACTAGAGAAAAAGTACGGGCTAGACGCAAAGTTCAGGTTCATTCCAACCGAACTCAATCCAGCAGATTTGGTTACCAGAGATGTTAATATTGTTGAATTTCAGAAGAAGTTCCAATTCTGGATCCATGGTCCAGATTTCCTCTCGTCAACTTTTGTTTGGCCCTAGCGTGAGCTTGGTTGTTTGTCGCCTGTTAATGTGGCTTTGGCCTCTAACTTTGCTTTGCAGGGTCGAGAAGACAAAAGTACTCCTCTAACTGGCTCAGCGATTGCAGGTGTGCCCGAACCGATTTTTCCTACTGATAAGTATTCTAACTTGGACAAGATGATTCGCATAACAGCTTTAGTTTTGAAATTTGTTGCCAAGCTTAGACGCAGTGCCCAAGACGAAGCTGAAGCCATTCAGAAGGCTAAGTTGTATTTGGTAAAGCACGAGCAATCCATTTCGTTCGGGCCTGAAATTGAATTTTTGCAGTCCAAAGGTAAAACTAAACCTCCACTATGGGTCAACAATTTGAATTTGTTTTTGGACGAATCGGGTGTGCTACGCTCACGTGGCAGGCTCGAAAAATGTACTCACCTCGCTGACGATGTTAGAAACCCATTGCTTTTGCCTAAAACTAGCCACCTCACTAATTTGTTCATTTGGGATGCTCATTTCAGATGCAAACATTTGGGACTTGGTTCCACATTAAACTTTCTGCGAAACTCGGGGATTTGGATTCCTGCGGGTCGCTCAGTAATCAAACGCGTCTTAGCGCAGTGCATTACGTGTCGTAAATTGAACAGTCGGCCATTCAAATATCCTCGACAGACTGATTTTGTTGGCGGTAAAGTCAATTACTTGCGACCTTTCAAGAATGTAGGTGTTGATTACACTTGTCACTTTCATGTCAATTGCTGGGAAACTCTTTCGTCAAAATGTATTTATTACTCTTAACTTGCCTTAGTATTAGAGCTATTCATTTCGAATTGGTACCTAGCATGTCCGTTAGTGATTTCTTGCAGGCATTTACTAGATTTTGTAATTGCTATGGTATACTCGATGCCATTTACAGCGGCAATGCTAGCACTTTCATTAAGTCAGCTAAAGTATTGGGGAATTCTGCATTCGATGATATCAATAATTCCCTTCTGAAGAACAACATGAAGCATATTAGAATCCCGTTATACAGTGCATGGGTCGGGTCAGCTTGGGAACGCATGATCAGGACCATTAAAGGTTGTTTGTACATAACTGTTGGCCGCAAAGGTTTAGACTATTTTGAATTCATTACCTTATTATCAGATGCACAGTTCGCCATCAACTCACGTCCCCTCACTTACAGAAGTTCAGAAGATAAGAATTATATTGAATTTTGGTACAATTGGAAATTAAAGAACAAAGAAAGCGTTGAAACTTTTTTTGTTGTGGTTCCGAAAAAAGAATTGTTTCGTAGAACGAAGCCACGAGGAAACGAGAAGCACGAAGCGCGATGAGGAACTCGTGCACTGTGGTAGAATACGTTCGCTCATAAGTACAAGTTCGAAAGTTGGAAGTCTAAAACACAATATTTAACCCAAATTAAGCCTAAAATTAATGGGTTCAAAGTTATACCGCAATGGATTTCAGTATGATTCATGAATAATGTATGATTCAATAATAATACAAATTCAGAATAATGATAATACAGTTTCAAATAATCAAAATGACAAACCTATTTGTTTCCGTTAAGGAACCCTAGACAAGAGTTCTCATGTAGAGAACTATTTGAAAGAAAATAGTGAAAACAGTATAAGGAGTGTTCGCTCGTACTTAAAGAGTTAAGCGCATGCAAGCATGCAAGTCAATTCACAGCACTAAGTCATGTGACATAATCGGTTAACACCGAAGCTTCAAGGAGCCAATAACCCAAGTTGTTTCAAGCAGTGGCGTGAAGCCAATTAAGGAAGATCTTAAACGAGCGAAATACAGAAGTGCTAACATGCAATTAAATGGAACAAAATAAAATGAAAACACACTCGCACAAACACAAATTAAGTAACAGAAAAGCAAGATTGATCAATGGTTTGAGCATGATGTCTTCACTCCGGTAAGGTTAAAGCAATAGTAATTAAGATCGAGCTAACGAGCGTCGACTTTGCCTCCTAACACGAGGCAAACGCTAAGCGTATAAACATTAACGAGTTAGACAATAAATTTTAACACTACAGCGAAAATAACTATCTTCTGAGGTACAAACTTAATGACTGCTCTTCGAACTAGCGCTTGTTACGTATATTTGATTAATACATACATGAAAATATAATTATTGTTATTGGTGTATTATTTTTATTTATGCATTAGGTTCTAATTAAGCCACAGGCAACACAGACATTTAATTATGTGTAATATGTATAGCCCCTTTCGGCATTTTTTACAGTCTTCAGAAGCCATATCAATTTACTTAATTTGAAATAGCTTGAGAAAATTACATCAAATTTCTGCTTGTTAGTTTCCCTTGGCATTTGAATTAATATATTCTAAAATACAAATTTTTTAACGTAGTAATCGCTGTTAGCAGAAATGTTATATGCGATTTACTCCAATATTATGCAAAATCCTGAAAAATCCCTGTAATAAACTTACCTTATAATTCTCCATACTTTCTAGTAATGGCTCAAGAAATTCAATTGATATATTATTATTATATTTTAAATATACATGTATATACCTTGAAAATGCGTGTATTTAAAACACAAGACGTGCTAAAAAAAACTGTTTAGACAATTTTGAATTCAGCAGCAAAAAGGTTTTCCAACCCAGGCAAAATGATATCGGAACAATTTTCCTCGTATACCAGTGTAATTGTTTAAACATATAGAAGTATCAAATGTACTTCGCAAAAGAGTGCGAACATTTAAAAACTAGACGTACTAGAGAAAAAACAAAGCAAGCTCTGGAATCAGCAACAAAAATTATTTACAACTCGCTCTAAATGATGTCAGAACAATTTTCTTTGTTGACCAGTGTCTTCGATTGAATTGTCCTCCATTTCTGTTTTCCCTGCTTACACTGTATGTATGTTACTCAGGCCTGTAACACTGTGCAATGTACACTGTACAGTGTACATGTCAGAGTAAGTTGAGAGAAGCTAATATTCATCTTTAACCATTGCCATATAAAGAAACATTTTTTAGAACGACAATAATATGTGTTTAAAATATAAGACAATCATTACTATATGATGTTATCACCTTTTAAAATTTCAGGTCCAGTTTATAATGGCGAAGGCTGTTTTGAAATTTAAAAATGATTCGACTGAAAAGCACGCTGCAAACCTTTTCGAGGTGATGTAAATTTTCAACATCGAGGCACAATATCATAATGCATTCGGAATTCACCTTTTTCATTCACCTTGCTCGTATTTTTTATGTTAAAAAACGTGATTTAATAGAGAAAGGTTTAATGGAACAACTTTAAGCTTATTTTATCTTGTGTTTAATTGATGAATACGTTAAAATTAAAGAGTTGTGAGATTGCACTGCTCTGTTCCAGGTAGCATACCGGATGAAAGGACCACTTCAGCCCGATGATCCATCTTTGATATCCATTATCAAGCGTGACTATTTGCGGCCTCCAAGAACAGGGCCCTACGAATTACAGCGCCTATTTTCGGGCGACTATGAGGGTAAATTGCTCAGCGAGCTTTGGATAGACTCGTATCTGAGGGACTTTTATCCTCCCGGTAAAAAAGGATATTTCGTGGAAGCGGGAGCGTTGGACGGTGTGTACATGTCGAACACCCTGCGTCTGGAGATGGAGCAAGGTTGGACTGGACTCTTGGTGGAGCCTGACGTGGACAACTACAAGCAATTGCTGCTGGCCAACCGCAAGGCCTGGACGAGTCCAACTTGCCTGTCGCTAAACGACTACCCCGAAACTGTCGTGATTACAAAAATGAGGAACCTAGTGGACGTGTGGGCAATCGAACACAGAATACAAGGTTTTGCCATGGTTGATGTCGACAAAGTGAACCGTTCAAGCAATTACACTCTTGTGGAGATGGAACAGCAAGGCTTTCCTCCTGAGGATATAATCCACAGGCAACGCCTCATTAGCATGTTCGAGGACAAAAACTTCATCCAATTCATGATCAACAAAGGGTACTACTACCTAGACGCAACGTGTACACACGTCGGAGACTTTTTGTTCGTGCGAAAAGAATCGGAGATTTACAAGTCAATGGAAGTGCCCGAACATGAGAGCAATCGAACTGAAGTTTGCAAGCACAAATTATTAATGATTGGTTCGGATTTCATTTATTCGCCCGTTGCGACTCGTGATCCTCACCACTATCCTGGATTGAGGTATAAATCTATGAAGCAAAAAAACAATAAAAATAAATAGACTTTCATGTCTAACGAGTTAAATATTCATTACATTAGGGGTATATGTCCAGAGAAACGAAGCTTCTTTTCAAGTTCATAGTTATTAGAATAATAGAAGAAATTGTTCTGTATCTGAAAAAGGTCATGGTAATGTAAAGAATGTGCGCAAAATAACGCAGGTGAGTAAAATCCTAGAACATGGTCATATAATAAACGGAATATAAATTATCTTTTATATTAATTCGCTCGAGTAGCCAATTTTGGCACTATTCAATACATGTGGCACTAGATGCAAGTTCAGACCTTTCTCCTCATCTGGAGTCTGAGGCTGTCAGAAGTACTTGATGGACTTGTGTTCATTCGATTTAATCAGCGAATACTGCATCTTTAACCGTAAACACACGTCCCAATTATCAAGCCGTGTCAAAATGAGTTAACCTGCTACATAAAACATCTGTTGATCTGAATAAAACGTAGTATGAGGGAGAATTATTAGATAACTTAAATTATGAATTTCATTGAAAGTTTGGATGAAGGTGTTGAGAAAGTTAGGAATGTGGGTTCAAACGACGAGGTATGTGAGATGCGATGGTTTCGAGCCCTCAAAACTGGGGTTTCTTACATCAAACGTTGGCAAGATTATCAGGAGAGAAATTCCATCTGGGTAGGAATTCGGCGTCAATTCCAGGCATAGGGTAAGCTGAGCGTGGTTGTTACGTATAAAAGGAGCTAAACTTCGGACCAGGGAGGTTCTTCTAAAATCCCGCGTCACGGTTAACTGTCTGCGTCTCCGGCCGCGTCTGCTGCAAGGGTCTGTGACAGGCGGCTTTGCCGGTTTTCAAACATTAAATGTCCCGAGAAACCTAGCTTCAACAATTCAGCTATGATTCCCGTAAGGGCATCTACAATCTATAAGTGACGACTACGACTTCCTTACATTTCAGTACGGCCAACATCAACGCAAGTACTAACAGCGCTTAGAGATGTTTAATTTCATAGCGGTTCATTCATTTTTTTATTAAGAATTAAGAGAGACGTTTCCATAGGGATGAATATCGAGTTTTAAACTAAATTCATTTATAAGCCTTCTGCAACAGTAATTTCTTCTCAGTTTATATGCCTAGATTTTTGCCAGTTCAATTTCTATGTAAAAGCGTTTCATTTTGACCCTTCATTTGACAGGATAAATTCTTGAAGGGCCTTAATTAAAAAGGAACTTGGTTCGAAAAATAGACACAAACAATGAAATGTTTAGATATATCCCTGAAGCATCGGTTATTGTGAAACTGCAGCCCAGTATTGATGGCTTGCTGACAGTTACATATTGCAGTAGCGCAGGTTGGGAGCAGTAGCGTAGGTAAAAGCTGCGCTTTTATATGTAATGAATGACAAAATGGCAATGACTACATAAAGACCTTTGGCAAAACGGCGCTGATTTGGTGTCAGCGTGAAGTAGACCTTAACTGAGCGTAGCATAGATACAGGGCCGACCCAGTTCGATCACTTCCTCTGCAGTCGAAACTCAGCCCGGTCGTGACGTCTTGACGAGGAGTCGTCGAACATTACAAGTCTTCTTGGAGGCCACGATGTTTAGCAGCTAACTCGCAGTACCATAGTTGGTTCAATGTGCATGAAGTGCTGCGGTGGTGGATGCATGACGTAAGTTGGCTTACTCACAGTCTCCCCCCGCTCACGGCGTTCATGTTTAATGTTTGCTCCGGCCATTAACGTTTGCCTGGATATATAGCTGGAGATTGGAAGCAGCCTGAAAGTAAAACATTCTTGGCCGGGCGACAACAGGACACACGGCGGTACTGTGGACGCAGCGGGTGCTGAAGCTTGGCATCAAGAAAAAAATGTTTTTAAATTTTTCCTCATGGCAATGAGGAAAGAGGTTGGAGTGATGTCGAGCATCCAGTCTAAAACGAGTTCGATATTCGAGGCATTTGTTTTAGTCAACGCACGCAAGGTAAGCTGCATGATGAGTGTTGCCTAATCACGATGGCGTAGAAATTCCATTAATTCGCCAATGTTGGACGTGTTGAACAACATGTATTGATTAGACGAAATTTTCGTGATGCAGTGATGGCTTTTTGTATTTGTATACATGGATTAACAGTGATTAATTGTGCATTGTTCAGGATCTCACCGCTGGTAGATAACTCAGAGCGGTTGACGACTTGAATTCACTGCATTATTAATCATGAGTCAGGTCTTATATTCTCTGGACTACCAATTACCCAAAATTGACGAGATTACGACCGGTGAGCTCTGTATATTCTCATGACTTCCTCGTGTAACCAATCTTGATCATCCAGTAAAACCTTGCATCAATATAAAAGTGAAGTACCCAAATATTTCATTTCTTCGCAGTCGATAATTTTTAAGTTATCTGTATCTTAAACGTTTTACTCACGCCGCTTATCCACCACGCCGCTTATCTATAATAAGCGGTTATCATAAGGGTTGAAAAATAATGAACTGAATTTTTCGTCTAAAGACCTATTTACATCGGTCGAGCATTCTCTGCGAGCGTGGTTTCCAAACGGCCGTGAACAAGATTCCGATTGTGAGAGCGGGAGCCCACGCTAAACAGGGCTTGCAAACTCAGTTCACGAACGTTTGCAATCATTTCTCAAACGGAGAGAGCCCCACGGAAGCTCAACGGATTCGGTGTCAGATGCATGACCAGCGTAACGCCGTAAACTGCAAACCAAGAAAGAATTGGAGCAGCTATTGGTGAGTGGACCGTTTATCTCTAATTTAATTGACATTTATGAGTATAATATTTAATACATATCAAATGACAAATAATCATCCTTGTATGCCATACAGTCAATACATAAAATTGTTTCCGTTAACATGTAGAGAAGGGAAAGTAATTTATCAGAGTAAGAATTGATTTTATGGTCAGATTTAGCTATGCATTACTATGCTTACTTAATCTACCTCATTCTTTATATGGCATGCACAATTCTGTTTTTAGTTGGAAAAATTTGTGAGACCATGCTGAAATCGTACTATTTCTATACAGTTTAGATGACCACTTAGCAATAGACACATAATTTCTACTGTTCAAAAATCAACATTCACACAACCTGCATTTATTGCTTTGTGGGCGATTTGGAATTCGGGATATTTTAACTATTATCGACGCAGCACAAATTGCAAGTTTTGGACATCATAGGTGCTATATGTATGAAAATGGTTCGTTGCTCGAGAACAACTGATCGTAGATGTGCTCGATCAGGCAGTGTTAATATAGGAGTACATCATTTACATCAGTGGTTCCCAAACATTTTCAGGCTGGCGCCCCCTTTGGCTCCCTAGTGAATTTCTAGCGCCCCCCACGTACATACGCCTCTTTCTTGAAATTTAGTACGCTGCAATTTTAAAAGATAAAGGTTAAACACAAATGTGTATTTCACAAATAGAAGCCCATTTAGTGAACCAATGTGTTTTTCAGCTCCTTCAACTGTTTCAGCGCCAGAAACCTAGGGTGTCTCGGGCGAATTTACGGCCTGACTCGTGGCCGGTCTCTTGACCAATCTCCAAATTCAATTATCAAGTAGTATCTCCAAAACTGATGAACACAGCTCTATGAAACTTGGAACATGTATTCATCAGAACCTAACGGTGTTATTCAGCTTGTAATTTTTTTAAATGTCACTTCCATTCGTGAGTAACGCGTATATTGCGAAACAGGCCGAAATTCGCAGTGATCAAAGAATTTCTTCCAAACTATTGAACAGATTTGAACGAAATTTTGAATATACATTCCTAACTACCAAACGGTAATTTTTCAGCTTATAATTTTTTTAGATTTTACCTTTGTTTGCGAGCTTTTTTTTTCATTTCACCGTCATTCTTGATTTCACACTTCCCTATATTCGGCCCGTATCGCCGGGTAATTTGTCACTTAAATTCGAGGCGATCAAGAAATTTCTTCCAAACTACAGAACAAATTTCAATGAAACTTTGTATATAAATACCTAACCTCTCAACGGTGATGTTTAGCTCGTGACAATTTTTTTTTATTTTGCTTTCGTCCGCGAGTTATACAGATATTGAAGGAACGACCGGCTTTTCTACCAGCCGGTTTAACCAAGAGCCGTATAAGGCCGTATAACTGGCAAACGAAGGCAAAACGAAAAAATTGTAACGAGCTAAACATCACCGTTGCTGAGGTTAGATATTTAAATACTAAGTTTCGTTCAAATCTGTTCAGCAGTTCGGAAAAAATTTCTTGATTATTGCGAATTTAAATAAACATGTATTGCTGTTTAAACCACGAATGAAGGTGAAATAAAAAAAACTCGCGAACGAGGGCGCAATCGAAAAAATTTTCACGAGCTAAACATTACCATTCGGCAGTTAGGACTGCAAATTCAAAATTTCGTTCGAATCTGTTTGGTAGTTTGGAAGAAATTACTTGATCACTGTGAATTTCGGCCGTATTGCCATATAACTATGACACCAACAAACGATGGCAAAATTCAAGCAATTTTCACGAGCTAAACATTACTGTTAGGTCCATAATGAATACGTGTACCAAGTTTCATCGAGTTAAGTTCATTAGT